TTGCTAGTTTGGTCTCTTAGTTTGCTAGTTTGGTGTCTTAGTTTGCTAGTTTGGTCTCTTAGTTTGCTAGTTTGGCGGCTTAGTTTGCTAGTTTGGTCTCTTAGTTTGCTAGTTTGGTGTCTTAGTTTGCTAGTTTGGTCTCTTAGTTTGCTAGTTTGGTGTCTTAGTTTGCTAGTTTGGTCTCTTAGTTTGCTAATTTGGTGTCTTAGTTTGCTAGTTTGGTCTCTTAGTTTGCTAATTTGGTGTCTTAGTTTGCTAGTTTGGTCTCTTAGTTTGCTAGTTTGGTGTCTTAGTTTGCTAGTTTGGTCTCTTAGTTTGGTGGCTTAGTTTGATAATTTGGTGTCTTAGTTTGCTAGTTTGGTGGCTTAGTTTGATAATTTGGTGTCTTAGTTTGCTAGTTTGGTCTCTTAGTTTGCTAATTTGGTGTCGTAGTTTGCTAGTTTGGTCTCTTAGTTTGCTAGTTTGGTGGCTTAGTTTGCTAGTTTGGTCTCTTAGTTTGCTAGTTTGGTGTCTTAGTTTGCTAGTTTGGTCTCTTAGTTTGCTAGTTTGGTCTCTTAGTTTGCTAGTTTGGTGTCTTAGTTTGCTAGTTTGGTCTCTTAGTTTGCTAGTTTGGTGGCTTAGTTTGCTAGTTTGGTCTCTTAGTTTGCTAGTTTCGTCTCTTAGTTTGCTAGTTTGGTCTCTTAGTTTGCTAGTTTGGTGTCTTAGTTTGCTAGTTTGGTGGCTTAGTTTGCTAGTTTGGTCTCTTAGTTTGCTAGTTTGGTCTCTTAGTTTGCTAGTTTGGTCTCTTAGTTTGCTAATTTGGTGTCTTAGTTTGCTAGTTTGGTCTCTTAGTTTGCTAATTTGGTGTCGTAGTTTGCTAATTTGGTGTCTTAGTTAACTAGTTTGGTGTCTTAGTTTGCTAGTTTGGTCTCTTAGTTTGCTAGTTTGGTCTCTTAGTTTGCTAATTTGGTGTCTTAGTTTGCTAGTTTGGTCTCTTAGTTTGCTAGTTTGGTCTCTTAGTTTGCTAGTTTGGTGTCTTAGTTTGCTAGTTTGGTCTCTTAGTTTGCTAGTTTGCTAGTTTGGTGTCTTAGTTTGCTAGTTTGGTCTCTTAGTTTGCTAGTTTGGTGTCTTAGTTTGCTAGTTTGGTGGCTTAGTTTGCTACCCAGATAGCAAAATGTATCCGGCACGGATCCGGACCAGATCCATCATAAAATCCGGACCGGATCCGTAAAACAGATCTGGTCCAAAGTCCACTTGCACAACGGACCAAATCCGGCACGGATCTGGATTCCGGACTTGGAACAATACTGGGACGGCACTGGCCCGGATCTTTATGTTTTCTGTGCTCTTACTTCCATCCTCCTCCGGATCAGCTCAGGATCAGCTCCGGCTCGTAACCAAGGTTTTTAATGTAACTGCTTTTAAAACTTTTTAAAACTACTTTTGAGTGAATTAAATAAATGTTCATTCAATTATTCAATCTAAAAGCAATCCACATCTCACATCTAATCCTCTGCTGTTTAACTACTACTCCTTTTTTCACTGTACTAGATAATTATTCTGACCAATTATAGACAAAACGCATACAAATGTAACAATTAACGTCCAAAGTCTGTGACATTGCAAAGAACAGTTTTCTAAAATTTAAAAGTAAGTTTCATAACAAATGACATCTTTGCAATATGTTTATTGAGATATTATCCTTAAATAATAACAGGGCAATAATAAGACATACATAAATACAATAAGGCATTAAATATTAATAATTATTGATTAATAATGAAAAACATACATATTTAAACTATAAATATCCTCACTGTTCAAAGAAAAACATACTGCAAATAAAACAAACAAAACAATCTCTTTACAGTAATCATGAAATTGGAGCACAAGAACAGTTGCCAATGTAGAAAAATAAAAATCAATAAAAATGGAGATTCTCACACACACGCGCGCACACGCACACTAATTGATTCCATTATATATTAAAGAAATCTGATTCAAATGTATTAGTGAATATAGCATTTTATGGTGTAAAATATATTACACCAATTCAATATGGAACAAATACAATGAACCAATATTACAACATCCATACTTAGCTAATTTTGTATATTTTAAAGTATTCCAAACAATGTAAAATGATAAAAATAGGTAACACTTTATAATAATGAACTTTAATAAATATTAACTGACCATGAATAGCTGTAAACAGATCATTACTTTATCAGAATTTGTAAACATTTATAAACACTGTACATGCTGTTCATGTACAACAAACCCTTTCACTAATAAATAATGAGTTGCTCAGCATCTGTTCACATACAAATCATTGCAGCAAATTACTGAAATGCAGAACTTTATAACAGATAAGCTTTACATTTTGTCCAGCATGTATATACATTATATTTCCAAAAGTATTCGCTCGTCTGCCTTCACACGCATATGAACTTGAGTGACATCCCATTCTTAATCCATAGGGTTTAATATGATGTCGGCCCACCCTTTGCAGCTATAACAGCTTCAACTCTTCTGGGAAGGCTTTCCACAAGGTTTAGGAGTGTTTATGGGAATTTTTGACCATTCTTCCAGAAGCGCATTTGTGAGGTCAGACACTGATGTTGGACAAGACCTGGCTTGCAGTCTCCGCTCTAATTAATCACAAAAGTGTTCTATCGGGTTGAGGTCAGGACTCTGTGCAGGCCAGTCAGGTTCTTCCACACCAAACTCGCTCATCCATGTCTTTATGGACCTTGCTTTGTGCACTGGTGCGCAGTCATGGTGGAACAGGAAGGGGCCGTCCTCAAACTGTTCCCACAAAGTTGGGAGCATGAAATTGTCCAAAATCTCTTGGTCTGCTGAAGCATTAAGAGTTCCTTTCACTGGAACTAAGGGGCCGAGCCCAACTCCTGAAAAACAACCCCACACCATAATCCCCCTCCACCAAACTTTACACTTGGCACAATGCAGTCAGACATGTACCATTCTCCTGGCAACCGCCAAACCCAGACTCGTCCATGGGATTGCCAGACGGAGAAGCGTGATTCGTCACTCCAGAGAACACGTCTCCACTGCTCTAGAGTCCAGTGGCGGCGCTTTACACCACTGCATTCGATGCTTTGCATTGCGCTTGGTGATGTAAGGCTTGGATGCAGCTGCTCGGCCATGGAAGCCCATTCCATGAAGCTCTCTACACTGTTCTTGAGCTAATCTGAAGGCCACATGAAGTTTGGAGGTCTGTAGTGATTGACTCTGCAGAAAGTTGGTGACCTCTGCGCACTATGCGCCTCAGCATCCGCTGACACTGCTCTGTCATTTTACGTGGCCTACCACTTCGTGGCTGAGTTGCTGTCATTCCCAATTGCTTCCACTTTGTTATAACACCACTGACAGTTGATTGTGGAAGGCCACATAAAATGACAGAGCGGGGTCAGCAGATGCTGAAGTGCAGAGTGCACAGAGGTCACCAACTTTCTGCAGAGTCATTCGCTACAGACCTCCAAACATCATGTGGCCTTCAGATGAGCTCAAGCACTGCAAAGAGAGCTTCATGGAATGGGTTTCCATGGCCAAGCAGCTGCATCCAAGCCTTGCATCACCAAGCGCAATGCACAGCGTCAAAGACAGTGGTGTAAAGCGCGGACTCTGGACTCAGTGGAGCAGTGGAGACGTGTTCTCTGGAGTGAACAATCATGCTTCTCCGTCTGGCAATCCCATGGATGAGTCTGGGTTTGGCGGTTGACAGGAGAACGGTACTTGTCTGACTGCATTGTGCCGAGTGTAAAGTTTGGTGGAGGGGGGATTATGGTGTGGGGTTGTTTTTCAGGAGTTGGGCTCGGCCCCTTAGTTCCAGTGAAAGGAACTTTTAATGCTTCAGCAGACCAAGAGATTTTCATCAATTTCATGCTCCCAACTTCCTGTTCCACCATGACTGCGCACCAGTGCACAAAGCAAGGCCCATAAAGACATGGATGAGCAAGTTTGGCGTGGAAGAACCTGACTGACCTCGACCCGATAGAACACCTTTGTGATGAATTAGAGTGGAGACTGCGAGCCAGGCCTTCTTGTCCAACATCAGTGTCTGACCTCACAAATGCGCTTCTGGAAGAATGGTCAAAAATTCCCATAAACACACTCCTAAACCTTGTGGAAAGCTGTTATAGCTGCAAAGAGTGGGCCGACATCATATTAAACCCTATGGATTAAGAATGGGATATCACTCGAGTTCATATGCATGTGAAGGCAGATGATCGAATACTTTTGTCAATATAGTGTATACATATTGTATATTACTGTTGTCAGAACATTGTATCTCCAAATTGGTAACTTTACAGAAGAAAGAAAAAATTTCATTGTAAAGTAAGTGAACGGAACCGGAACCACCCCCCCCAAAGTCATTCTGGGCCTTTTCTTTTGTCTTATTTGTCATGAAATTACACTATCATGCAAAAACATGCCTGTTATGTGAAATAAGACCACCATGTTGCAGTTTCTGCACTCATCTGGCAGTGTCTCCACCTCTTCTCTTTCTTCACCTTGTGCAATTTTAGCTTTTCTATCCCAAAGAGTGTTTTTGAATACGCAGTAAACTCCAAAGATCAGCTGTTTTTTTTAAACATGAGCTAATTTTAAACACTTTACACTAGCTACTGCAAAAATGTAGAAAAGATGTTACAAACATCTGTTAACAAGAGTTATAACTTCACACATTTGTTATCTAATTACTTATCCAAAAGATATCTTAGAATCTTTAACTCCTTATTTGTTAATAAATGAGTTTGTTGTAAATGTAGAGAAAAACAGCACGTAAATCATTTCTAAATATGAATACACAACTACATTAATTATTTATAAACATCTGTACATTCTTATAGACTAATGATTTGCTAATGAATTTGTTTAATGGTTCATTAAACATAACCATCAAAGTCTAACCTAAATCTATTTAGAAAAAAAAAAATTATATATATATATATATATAATATATATATATATATATATATATATATATGTGTGATATCTGTACATCTCTATATATCTATAACAATTATCTCTAAAAAAAACCTTCACTAGGCCTCTGTGGAAGCGACACTGACACGTTGTTTCCTACCGCTGCCCCTGTCAGAAGCCAGGTTGAACCATCTTATAACATGTCTATATATTTCAGTGTGGGTGGCATCACGGGACACACGGCTCTTTTTAACAGCATCTGTAATCACAAGGAGATTGTGATAAGCAACCATGGCATTCAACTATCTTTTTTCTGACCAAAAAAACCTTTCGCTTAAGGCAAAGTACTTATGAATGTGTTTCTTGCCTAAAGCAATGTACTTGAATGTCCCTTTTTTGTTTTCCCACTGTTTTGTCTCGACTGTCTATTGGTTGTTTCTGTTGATGAGAATGTACAATCCCATGTTCCAAAAAGCTGGGACAGTATGTGAAATGCTAATAAAAAAATGGAAAAATATTTTATGTCAAAGATCAGGCATCTTTTACTGACAAAATTATCAACAGTGCAGATAAAAATTAGTTTGGCAGCTCAAATTTAAGTTGGAATTTTTTCTTATATTCACATAAAATTACATACTTGTATACCTAATTTTTCAACCATTGGCAGTAAAAATTTGTTCTCTGGTGTGACATCAACAAAATATTTAGTAAAGGTGTCTGTCACAAGCTGAGCATTTGTAAACCATAATAACTTTAAACTTTTACTTTATTTTATTTTAAATTGCACTAGGTATGACTGTTATGTTAAAATTAGAAGAGGTAGCATTATTGAGTCAGGATGGACATTAAAACGTTAAAATATGGTGTACATGCACTGCTGTGTAGTATGTTTATCACAGTAAAACATTTTTACTGGATTACTGAGCTCCATTGAAGAAAATCTCTCTAAAGTTTAGGAAAAGTCCCACCTCCCAGTCTCAATTTTGCTTGGTTCTTCCTTTGAGATTGTAGGTTAGCACTCCATGCAGTTTAGGGAGAGTGGATACTTTCTTTTTGATATAAGCGTCCCAATGTTATCCACAAAGGGCCAGAGTAGGTGCAGGTTTTTGTTCCAAACAACAGGAAGACACCTGATTCTAATAGTTTAATCAGTCAGTCTCTGTCTTTAAACAACTGATCATGTGAGCTCCAGCCCTTTGCGAGTAAGACTGGACACCCCTGCATTACTGCTTCTGTTAATTTAAACATATTCACCTCGAACCTTTACAACCAATTCAAAATTTGTTAGTTGCAGCATAATTTGACTATGAAATCTAACTTACTGTGGCAAATTATTGAAGTCATCTAAAAAAACTGAGATCTTCTCAAATAATTGAGATTAGGTGATTTGTCGTTCTTGCGACAGGCCCAGGACCACCACTGAATATCTCTGGGATGAGTTGGAGTGATCCAACTAATGCTAATTCATTTGTGGCTTAATGCAAACAAATCTTCACAGCAATGTTCTGTCATCTGTAAAGCCTTTCCCAGAAGAGTAGAGGCTGATATTGCAGCGAAGGCTGGAACAAGCTCCCTATTAATACCACTAATTTAAAAAAAAAAAACATTGGACAACCAGGTTTCTACAAATTTCTGCATATGTATTTTACTCGTATTTGTCACTGTGAACACAAAAATGGAGCATCATGGCAAACACCCGTTGGAACTGCAAACTACCCTGAAGTGAAACTTAAAATAGTTGTGTAAAAATTAAATTACTCTCACCTTAACAATGATGCGGTTACCAATCACCTCGATGTGATGCAGTTTTATGACCAGATTACCTGTTGTTAAGAAAATAAAGCACACAGGACAAATTGTTAATTTTGGACACTACATATCATGGTCATGATGATTAAATGGCAATAAATAGTTTACACAAGAGATTGTTTCCCACGCCCAACGTTTTCCCAAGTCTAATACTTCAATTCAGTTAGGGATTGTTAATTATCTGATTAGTTGAATAAGGTGGGTTGTAAGCTTGAAAAACACTAAAAATGTGCAGGGCAGGGGATACAACCGAAATACATTTGGGAACCACTGGATTAGCTTTAGATTTAGCACAAAAGCTACCTACACAATGAGTACTTACAGTGAAGTTTTATCCTGTTTCACATTTGATATCCTTTTTCACAGTAGCATGCAGTTGATGTAGCTGATGCAGTCAGTTTTTGTCATAGTATCTGATAGTCACTAAGTCATTTTGTATAACCCATCAACCCAAATCTAAATAAACCATATGCAAAGGATTAATTCTGAACTACAACAATTTAGGGTACAAGACAGATGTAAACTAATACACAATGTGTGCAGTCCCAGGGACGCTCTTCCCTGCACAGCGTTATACTTTGCCTGTTCTACCACATACACCGATCAGGCATAACATTATGACCACCTCCTTGTTTCTGCGCTCATTGTCCATTTTATCAGCTCCACTTACTATATAGGTGCACTTTGTAGTTCTACAGTTACAGACTGTAGTCAATCTGTTTCTCTGCATACTTTGTTAGCCCCCTTTTACCCTGTTCTTCAGTGGTCAGGACCCCCATAGACCCTCACAGAGCGGGTACTGGTGGATCATTCTTAGCACTGCAGTGGTGCTGACGTGGTGGTGGTGTGGATTTAGTGTGTGTTGTGCTGGTCTGAGTGGATCAGACACAGCAGTGCTGCTGGAGTTTTTAAACACTGTGTCTTCTCGCTGTCCACTCTATTAGACATTCCTACCTTGTCAGTCCACCTTGTAGATGTAAAGTCAGAGACGATAGCTCATCTGCTGCTGCACAGTTAGTGTTGGTCATCCTCTAGTCCTTCATCAGTGGTCACAGGACGCTGCCCACAGGACGCTGTTGGCTGGATAATTTTGGTTGGTGGACTATTCTCAGTCCAGCAGTGACACTGAGGTGTTTAAAAACTCCAGCAGCACTGCTGTGTCTGATCCACTCGTACCAGCACAACACACACTAACACACCACCACCATGCCAGCACCACTGCAGTGCTGAGAATGATCCAGCTGCTCTGTGAGGGTCCGCGGGGGTCCTGACCACTGAAGAACAGGGTAAAAGGGGGCTAACAAAGTATGCAGAGAAACAGATGGACTACAGTCTGTAACTGTAGAACTACAAAGTGCACCTATATAGTAAGTGGAGCTGATAAAATGGACAATGAGCACAGAAAATGTTATGTCTGATTGGTGTATGTTCCACCCAAGAAGGAACTGATAATCAGGTTATTAGTTGGATCAAGTGTGCTAAAGCAGGGAAAACCTAAAACTGTGCGGGAGAGCGGGGTCCTGACAATTTATGTGCTAAGAGCTGATGCCCAAGGTGGCAGACCACGTTTGTAATTTAATGCCAGCTCCTTCCAAATTACTTATGCACATATTCCAACCACACACACAAAAAAAAAACAAAACAAAAAAACAACAACAAAAAAACAACACACACACACAAAAAAAAAACCCTATCAAACAACATGTTATGTGTGAAATAAAGGTATGGCCACAAAACCACCTCTATGAGGCAAAGCAGCACATTTCTGTACAAGCTCAGAGACCTTGGCACATTTGAGAAAATCTGATGTGTGGGAAATTGTATAGATATTTAAAAAGAGCTGAATGGATAGGTAAAGAAACAAGACTTCTCTGAAAATACTTTATACACTACATACACTCCATCACTACATTCTACAATGTAATGTATTAGACAAATATCTTTTCCAATCATAAATACATTATTTCCTGTAGATACTTTTATAGTCCATTTTTCACACTGCATTTCACAATACTGTGCTTTCACTGACAAACCATTTGTGATCGGTCCAACAAAGTGTGGCTTTTTCAAAGTGGACACTTTTGAAACAAACAGTGTTCACATGCAAAGATTTTTTCCAATACGATTGAATACAATCCGATTACAGATTCAGACTGAGGTGTTTATGCTCACTCTATTCAACAATTTGATGGAAAATCTTCGTTTACATGCGCACTACAAGTAAGCACGCAAAATGACGCGCATGCGTGGAGTAGCGCTTAGAGTAAACGTTACCATGACAGCGAACAGCACGTGAGGTCCAGTCCGCGTGAGATGAGTTTCCAGTTGGCGCGCTTGTGTTTTTAACTGCTTTAAAATGATGTCAGACTCAGGAAAACGTCCTTCACATGTCCTTATTAAAGAAGGCCGAGAGGAAGACGTCGTGCTCTGAGACACATAAGCTGGACGGCCGTCCCACCGCCGTCTTTTAAAGATCAGAGCATGAACTTCGTCTCCTCTGCAGACCAGTTTCTGCTCCGCCATGCTGAACGGTATAAACTTTCATCATGACGCGACGCACATGATAAGAACCGACTTACACGTTCCGATTGTAATGTAATCGGATTCAGGCGTTTACATGGCTATTATTCTTCTATTTAACGAATTATTTAGAGGTTTACCCACCTCGTTTAATCGGATAGTAATTGTATTCCGAATGGCCTCAATCGGACTAGACTATTTACATGGACGTATTCTATTCCGATTGAGCTATTAGTCGGATTATCAACGGATTATCAGGCTGCATGTAAACATGGCTACTGATTTGTACCTCTGACACTCTATAAATTACTTGGGCAAGAGGAAAATCTGGTTTTCTGACTAGCCTTTTCAATTTCTGTAGGTAACTAGTTCTCAAACGGACATGCAGATATTGTATCAAGGCAGCCATGCAGCTCTATGTCATGTGACAGATGTACCAATCCGTGTACATTATAAACTATTTGGTCTTTGCCATATATCTCACCAAAGTGACTAACAGAAGATATCAGCAGGTTGTGAGCATATTGGCTGTGACATGACCATCTAGAGCATACTACAATGGCAATACCAGAGAAGAGCAGCATAAAATTAGTGTACATACTTCTTTCAAGAAAGGAAGCTAGAATGACAGGCCCTGTGTAGAGCAAAAACTCTCTGAATTTAGTAGCCTTCCAACGATCTATTTCTCAGAGAGATCTAGGCTTTTTGGCAAACTCAACTGGAATATGTGGACACATCTCTAACAGACGAGCTGACATTCTTTCAACTACCTTTGCAGGGACACTGAACTGTAGAGGACCCCTGAGCCAGATGTTTAGTAAACGTCTGACAACTCCCAAACAGACGCAATGCATGTAATCAACAGGAAACTGTGAAACCATGCCAACACTGCAACCATGGAACGGATGTGGCCCTTCATGATGATGATTTTCATCGAGCATGTTTTCAAATGATTACTTCGTCCTTAAAGCAGAGGTTGTACATGTGTATGTCATATGGCCATTAGTGTAAAACCCAGGTTGTGTACATTTATCACAACCACAGTAGCCATTGTAACTCTGTTTTTTAACAAAGGCTCTGGCTGGTGTGTCACAAATGACTCTGTCCAACTTCAGATTAATCTTTTTACCATTTAAAACAAAACCCTGTTCAAGGTCTTGTAGCTCACTGACAAAATCTTTAAGAAATTCCCTAGCTGAGTCAGGTTGTCTTGTGCCACAAAACAAATCTAATCAATACTGGCTCTTTCATGGGAACACTGACTAGCAGCCCAAGGATAGGCCTCAGCTGCATGCCAGCTGAGGCCTATCAACTCTTAAACAAAGGAAGTCCATCTATATTTATTTGCAACTTTAAGATGAAATTATCAGCAAGAGTGTGTATGGTCTGAGAAAGAGTCATTTCAAGCAATGACAGAATCCCAAAATAGTGGTACTGTCCCCCTGCCCTTTCCACAATAGTGTGATTTGTTTTGGTCTTAATGAGGGTCCTTGCATCCTTCGGAAGATCAAGGTTGTAAACACGAAGTATGCTTAGCAGTGCTGTCAAGGCAACCAGAAAAATGCCAAACTGTACGGCCCAGCTAGCAATAGTGTCAGAGAGAGAACTTGACTCATGGAAGGTTTCATCACCAGAACTGTGCCAGTCTACACCACCTAAATCTATGCCCATGTGCTCTTCCCCATCACTTTCTGTGACTGGAGTTGGACTTCCTGCAAAAGGTTCCCCAATAACCATTCCAAGGTCTCTCTCTACACTTGGTCCACAGTCAACAGTGACGTTTTTACAGTCATCTCTAATTTGTCCAAGATGTCTATTTAGGTCTACATGGACCCTCCGTCTTATAGCTGAACTGGAGATTGGACCAGACTTTCTATTCTTTCAGACTGGTCAAAGTTTGAAAAGAGTCACTGCAGCAGTTTTGCCACAATCTTTCATTTTTTCAAAAATTGGGAAAATCTAATTTTGGATGTTTTTAAAATATACACAGTTAACAAACCCAATTCCATGAAAGGGGTATCAATTTTTAAAAATATTTTTATGATATTTAATGTAAAACAGATGATAGAGGTTTTTAACATTTTTACTCTAATAAACTATATAAACTTTATTGATTTTTGAAAGCATAAATTAATTTAAAAAGTTGGGACAGGTGCAATATGAGATAGGGAAATTTGTGGAAACAGGTAAACAAAAGAACAGGTAACATGATGCCAGATTTAGATATAAAAGATATAAATCAACAGTTTATGAACAATTTCCCAACACACAATTCCAAGAAACGTAGAGATCTAACCATACACACTTTGTAACATAGTTAACAGATTTAGCGAATCCAGAGAAATCTATGCAGGCAAGGCAAGACAAGGCAAAAAATAGAGACCCTGTACTGCTAAGCAGCTGAAGTGTCATATCAAGCAAAAACGGGGATAAAATATACTTTTTAATTACAACAATTGGTGTCCTCATTTCCCAAATGATTACTGAACATTGTTGAAAGCAAAGTTCATGTAACACAGTGATAAACATGCCCCTGTCCCACCTTTTTGGAACATGTTCAATGCATCAGATTAAGAATAAGCCTATATTTTTAAAAAAATATTGAGTAGGAAATTAAATCTTATCCTTACACTGTTTTCAAATTGAATACAGGTCTCAAAAGAACCGCACATCATTGCTGTGTTTTTATTACTGTCCCAACGTTTTTAGAATTGGCCTGTTGCTCAACAGACCTACTAGGTTAAGGGTTCCCATAAAGCTGATGTACCTTTTCATTCCCAATCCAAATTTCAGGACTTTCTATCATAAAAATTCTATTTAACATTCTGTAAACAAAAAACTTAAGACGTACTTTGTCACATCTTAAATACTGTTAATTTGTATCATTATTATCTTTTTATGTATGCCTTTGAATGAAATAATTAAAATACTACAATAAAAACATCCTTAAAAAATAAGATTTTCCTACAGTTATATATTCCACAATTTATTTATTATTTATTTTCTTTTATTAATACATTTTCTGTGTCTATAGTTTTAACAATTGCTCACTTTTTTCATTGATTCATGGATTCATGTATTTGTTTATTTTTTTATTAATTCATTTTTTTCATTAATACATTTATTTATTTCTGTATTTCTTCATTCATGTGATAATGAGGGGGCATGTTTTTCATGTTCAGGCTTAGCAATCAAGACCAGGAGGAGAAGAGCTGATTAAACTGTTCTTTCACCAACTCCATAAAGAGCTGCAATGCCACAGACAGACAAACCTGCCAACAAATAACTCTCAATGGCTTCCACAGGCCATATGTGAGAAGAGCATCCAAATGTCTGAGTGTGATCTGAATTTTGCTGAAAAAGAAAATGAACCACCTTCTACAAAGTTCTGAACACTACAGGTCAACCTCCGTATCAGCAGATCAGCTAAATGGAGCAAACTGTCCACACAGCCTCTGCTCAAAAGAGTCAATAATCCAGACCTTCATTTTCAGCCAGATCAGCCAGGAGTCTTGGATCTCTGTCTGTCTGCTGCCTGTAAGAAGCCATTATTGTACTGTCTTGTCCTTGGTTACCACTAAGAGAGTAAGACATATACAATCGATCTGCAGAATCTGACAGTGATCAACCAATGGGAATATTAACACGCTGTGACATCATTAACTAACAGCCCCTTTATTAGCATAAGGACAAGGATATACAGAAATGTATAAATAGAGAAATTAATAAATACAGAAATGAACATTTATGGAAATAAATGAATAGAAAAACAAAAAAAATGTAAATGCAGACATATTAATTTATATAAGATTTTATTTATTAATATATTAATTGTTATGAATATTTATTTTTAGATTTTACATCATTACTCCTTGCTATTCTACTTCATATATTAATTTACTAAGTCATTTGGCCAAATCTGGTCCTCTATAGTGCTCATACTGGTTCTTAAAATGATGGCAGACACCGAAACATAGGACCAATTCTACAAGGCAATTTCTAACTCGCACATGAGCTACTGAGTGAGTAGACAGAACTAAATAACATTTCAGCGGTGTTGACTGACATGCAACATTACAAATGCCTATATTAAAATTTATAACACAAGTATTTTTTGACAATAGTAGTGCAATGAAAAAAGTGGTTGAATTTACATGATTCAGAAGAACACACTGGTTACACATAACTGAAATATGTTAAATCAGTTTAATATAATTGATTACTTACAGTAATTATGTTGATGTAACATTCCATTCATGCAGAGCCAATGTACACATTTGAATCATGTAAATTTAAACCAACCTTTCATATACCAGTTCGAATTCTTTCTAAGGTATTCATTTCACTAGCATGCCACAAAAAGCCATATAACACAATGTACAAACAGTGTAAAACACACTAACAGGAGTGTCTTACCAGAACTGTTGAGCCAGGCTTCATTCAGTGTAGGTCAGTAGGTATTTATGCCAAAAGACAGCCCAATCAACACTGAAGTAAGGTTAGCTGCTGAGGCTGTTTGAAGGCTGAGACATGCAGAAAAGAGCAGAGGACACCGGTTAAAATCAGCAATACTGGTCTTATTCACCTGATGCAGTCTGAATAAACACTGCATTGCTTCAGACAGCTAGACAGCTAAAACTAGCGGGATCATTTATTCTCAAAAATAAATGTAACTGAGAGCATGCAAGCTAGCTAATACCAATCAGCAACCAATAAACTAATACAATAGTCAATTAATAAAGTCTTAGCTAAAAAACCCAAAACTTCTGGTGACATACAGCTAACGTTTGCTAAGAAACACGAGAACATCACTGCACAACACACCAGCTAAAGTTAGCAGATGTAGCTAGGTTAGCTAACGTTAGCTATTAGCTGATCAGTTATTAGTCAAGGAAATGTTGGCCAAACGTGTGGATTTTTCTTTATGAAGTGTTCAAATTGGTAAACAATAAGTTAACAATAAAAATAACACTAAGTAGTTATTAATCTATAAATAGTACACGTTTACAAGTACAAGGCTACTAACTAACTAGCTATTTTTTTTTCCCAAATAGGCTGGAATATGAGTCTGCTAGCCTAGCGTTACCTCGAAAATGAACTGCCGGAGATGTTAAGGATAGCTTTAAAAACAAGAAAAACACGTTTCAGGCAGTGCTGATCATATAGATACCTAAAAGTTATATTTTTATTTAAATAAAATTAAAAGCAGTAAGTTACTCACCAAAGACGGCTGAAAACCGTTAGCAGTGGGCGACGGTTAAACCGAAGAAGTTCAAATTTCAAATGGAACATCTCCTCCGTGCAAGATGCGGCTGTGAATCAGTGCATACGTCACAGTGAATCGACTCGCGAACCGAATCCGAATTGGAGACGGGCCGAATACGCTAAACGGAGGTTACTGTGACACGGATCTGCCGTAGGAAAAGCGGATCCGGAACGGAGTCCGCTGCTATCTGGGTAGTTTGGTCTCTTAGTTTGCTAGTTTGGTGTCTTAGTTTGCTAGTTTGGTCTCTTAGTTTGCTAGTTTGGTGGCTTAGTTTGCTAGTTTGGTCTCTTAGTTTGCTAGTTTCGTCTCTTAGTTTGCTAGTTTGGTCTCTTAGTTTGCTAGTTTGGTGTCTTAGTTTGCTAGTTTGGTGGCTTAGTTTGCTAGTTTGGTCTCTTAGTTTGCTAGTTTGGTCTCTTAGTTTGCTAGTTTGGTCTCTTAGTTTGCTAATTTGGTGTCTTAGTTTGCTAGTTTGGTCTCTTAGTTTGCTAATTTGGTGTCGTAGTTTGCTAATTTGGTGTCTTAGTTAACTAGTTTGGTGTCTTAGTTTGCTAATTTGGTCTCTTAGTTTGCTAGTTTGGTCTCTTAGTTTGCTAATTTGGTGTCTTAGTTTGCTAGTTTGGTCTCTTAGTTTGCTAGTTTGGTCTCTTAGTTTGCTAGTTTGGTGTCTTAGTTTGCTAGTTTGGTCTCTTAGTTTGCTAGTTTGCTAGTTTGGTGTCTTAGTTTGCTAGTTTGGTCTCTTAGTTTGCTAGTTTGGTGTCTTAGTTTGCTAGTTTGGTCTCTTAGTTTGCTAGTTTGGTGTCTTAGTTTGCTAGTTTGGTCTCTTAGTTTGCTAGTTTGCTAGTTTGGTGTCTTAGTTTGCTAGTTTGGTCTCTTAGTTTGCTAGTTTGGTGTCTTAGTTTGCTAGTTTGGTGGCTTAGTTTGCTAATTTGGTGTCTTAGTTTGCTAGTTTGGTGGCTTAGTTTGCTAATTTGGTGTCTTAGTTTGCTAATTTGGTGTCTTAGTTTGCTAGTTTGGTCTCTTAGTTTGCTAGTTTGGTCTCTTAGTTTGCTAATTTGGTGTCTTAGTTTGCTAGTTTGGTCTCTTAGTTTGCTAATTTGGTGTCGTAGTTTGCTAATTTGGTGTCTTAGTTTACTAGTTTGGTGTCTTAGTTTGCTAATTTGGTCTCTTAGTTTGCTAGTTTGGTCTCTTAGTTTGCTAGTTTGGTCTCTTAGTTTGCTAATTTGGTGTCTTAGTTTGCTAGTTTGGTCTCTTAGTTTGCTAGTTTGGTCTCTTAGTTTGCTAATTTGGTGTCTTAGTTTGCTAGTTTGGTCTCTTAGTTTGCTAGTTTGGTCTCTTAGTTTGCTAATTTGGTGTCGTAGTTTGCTAGTTTGGTCTCTTAGTTTGCTAGTTTGGTGGCTTAGTTTGCTAGTTTGGTCTCTTAGTTTGCTAGTTTGGTCTCTTAGTTTGCTAGTTTGGTCTCTTAGTTTGCTAGTTTGGTGTCTTAGTTTGCTAGTTTGGTCTCTTAGTTTGCTAGTTTGGTGGCTTAGTTTGCTAGTTTGGTCTCTTAGTTTGCTAGTTTCGTCTCTTAGTTTGCTAGTTTGGTCTCTTAGTTTGCTAGTTTGGTGTCTTAGTTTGCTAGTTTGGTGGCTTAGTTTGCTAGTTTGGTCTCTTAGTTTGCTAGTTTGGTCTCTTAGTTTGCTAGTTTGGTCTCTTAGTTTGCTAGTTTGGTGGCTTAGTTTGCTAGTTTGGTCTCTTAGTTTGCTAATTTGGTCTCTTAGTTTGCTAGTTTGGTCTCTTAGTTTGCTAGTTTGGTCTCTTAGTTTGCTAATTTGGTGTCTTAGTTTGCTAGTTTGGTCTCTTAGTTTGCTAATTTGGTGTCTTAGTTTGCTAATTTGGTGTCTTAGTTTACTAGTTTGGTGTCTTAGTTTGCTAATTTGGTCTCTTTGCTAGTTTGGTCTCTTAGTTTGCTAGTTTGGTCTCTTAGTTTGCTAATTTGGTGTCTTAGTTTGCTAGTTTGGTCTCTTAGTTTGCTAATTTGGTGTCTTAGTTTGCTAGTTTGGTCTCTTAGTTTGCTAGTTTGGTCTCTTAGTTTGCTAATTTGGTGTCGTAGTTTGCTAGTTTGGTCTCTTAGTTTGCTAGTTTGGTGGCTTAGTTTGGTCTCTTAGTTTGCTAGTTTGGTGTCTTAGTTTGCTAGTTTGGTCTCTTAGTTTGCTAGTTTGGTGTCTTAGTTTGCTAGTTTGGTCTCTTAGTTTGCTAGTTTGGTGGCTTAGTTTGCTAGTTTGGTCTCTTAGTTTGCTAGTTTCGTCTCTTAGTTTGCTAGTTTGGTCTCTTAGTCTGCTAGTTTGGTGTCTTAGTTTGCTAGTTTGGTGGCTTAGTTTGCTAATTTGGTCTCTTAGTTTGCTAGTTTGGTCTCTTAGTTTGCTAGTTTGGCGGCTTAGTTTGCTAGTTTCGTGGCTTAGTTTGCTAGTTTGGTGGCTTAGTTTGCTAGTTTGGTCTCTTAGTTTGCTAGTTTGGTCTCTTAGTTTGCTAATTTGGTGTCTTAGTTTGCTAGTTTGGTGGCTTAGTTTGCTAGTTTGGTGGCTTAGTTTGCTAGTTTGGTCTCTTAGTTTGCTAGTTTGGTCTCTTAGTTTGCTAGTTTGGCGGCTTAGTTTGCTAGTTTGGTGTCTTAGTTTGCTAGTTTGGTGTCTTAGTTTGCTAGTTTGGTCTCTTAGTTTGCTAGTTTGGTCTCTTAGTTTGCTAGTTTGGCGGCTTAGTTTGCTAGTTTGGTCTCTTAGTTTGCTAGTTTGGTCTCTTAGTTTGCTAATTTGGTCTCTTAGTTTGCTAGTTTGGTCTCTTAGTTTGCTAGTTTGGTGGCTTAGTTTGCTAGTCTCTTAGTTTGCTAATTTGGTGTCTTAGTTTGCTAGTTTGGTGGCTTAGTTTGCTAGTTTGGTCTCTTAGTTTGCTAGTTTGGTCTCTTAGTTTGCTAGTTTGGTCTCTTAGTTTGCTAATTTGGTGTCTTAGTTTGCTAGTTTGGTCTCTTAGTTTGCTAATTTGGTGTCGTAGTTTGCTAATTTGGTGTCTTAGTTTGCTAGTTTGGTCTCTTAGTTTGCTAATTTGGTCTCTTAGTTTGCTAGTTTGGTGTCTTAGTTTGCTAGTTTGGTCTCTTAGTTTGCTAATTTGGTGTCTTAGTTTGCTAGTTTGGTCTCTTAGTTTGCTAATTTGGTGTCTTAGTTTGCTAGTTTGGTCTCTTAGTTTGCTAGTTTGGTCTCTTAGTTTGCTAATTTGGTGTCGTAGTTTGCTAGTTTGGTCTCTTAGTTTGCTAGTTTGGTGTCTTAGTTTGCTAGTTTGGTCTCTTAGTTTGCTAGTTTGGTGGCTTAGTTTGCTAGTTTGGTCTCTTAGTTTGCTAGTTTGGCGTCTTAGTTTGCTAGTTTGGCGGCTTAGTTTGCTAGTTTGGTCTCTTAGTTTGCTAGTTTGGTGTCTTAGTTTGCTAGTTTGGTGGCTTAGTTTGCTAGTTTGGTGTCTTAGTTTGCTAGTTTTGTCTCTTAGATTGCTAGTTTGGTCTCTTAGTTTGCTAATTTGGTCTCTTAGTTTGCTAGTTTGGTGTCTTAGTTTGCTAGTTTGGTCTCTTAGTTTGCTAGTTTGGTGTCTTAGTTTGCTAGTTTGGTGGCTTAGTTTGCTAGTTTGGTCGCTTAGTTTGCTAGTTTGGTGTCTTAGTTTGCTAGTTTGGTCTCTTAGTTTGCTAGTTTGGCGGCTTAGTTTGCTAGTTTGGTCTCTTAGTTTGCTAGTTTGGTGTCTTAGTTTGCTAGTTTGGTCTCTTAGTTTGCTAGTTTGGTGTCTTAGTTTGCTAGTTTGGTCTCTTAGTTTGCTAATTTGGTGTCTTAGTTTGCTAGTTTGGTCTCTTAGTTTGCTAATTTGGTGTCTTAGTTTGCTAGTTTGGTCTCTTAGTTTGCTAGTTTGGTGTCTTAGTTTGCTAGTTTGGTCTCTTAGTTTGGTGGCTTAGTTTGATAATTTGGTGTCTTAGTTTGCTAGTTTGGTCTCTTAGTTTGCTAATTTGGTGTCTTAGTTTGCTAGTTTGGTCTCTTAGTTTGCTAATTTGGTCTCTTAGTTTGCTAGTTTGGCGGCTTAGTTTGCTAGTTTGGTGTCTTAGTTTGCTAGTTTGGTCTCTTAGTTTGCTAATTTGGTGTCGTAGTTTGCTAGTTTGGTCTCTTAGTTTGCTAGTTTGGTGGCTTAGTTTGCTAGTTTGGTCTCTTAGTTTGCTAATTTGGTGTCTTAGTTTGCTAGTTTGGTCTCTTAGTTTGCTAATTTGGTGTCTTAGTTTGCTAATTTGGTGTCTTAGTTTGCTAGTATGGTCTCTTAGTTTGCTAGTTTGGTCTCTTAGTTTGCTAATTTGGTGTCTTAGTTTGCTAGTTTGGTCTCTTAGTTTGCTAGTTTGGTGTCTTAGTTTGGTAATTTGGTGTCGTAGTTTGCTAGTTTGGTCTCTTAGTTTGCTAGTTTGGTGGCTTAGTTTGCTAGTTTGGTCTCTTAGTTTGCTAATTTGGTGTCTTAGTTTGCTAGTTTGGTGGCTTAGTTTGCTAATTTGGTGTCTTAGTTTGCTAATTTGGTGTCTTAGTTTGCTAGTTTGGTCTCTTAGTTTGCTAGTTTGGTCTCTTAGTTTGCTAATTTGGTGTCTTAGTTTGCTAGTTTGGTCTCTTAGTTTGCTAATTTGGTGTCGTAGTTTGCTAATTTGGTGTCTTAGTTTAGCTAGTTTGGTCTCTTAGTTTGCTAATTTGGTCTCTTAGTTTGCTAGTTTGGTCTCTTAGTTTGCTAGTTTGGTCTCTTAGTTTGCTAATTTGGTGTCTTAGTTTGCTAGTTTGGTCTCTTAGTTTGCTAATTTGGTGTCTTAGTTTGCTAGTTTGGTCTCTTAGTTTGCTAGTTTGGTCTCTTAGTTTGCTAATTTGGTGTCTTAGTTTGCTAGTTTGGTCTCTTAGTTTGCTAGTTTGGTGGCTTAGTTTGCTAGTTTGGTCTCTTAGTTTGCTAGTTTGGTGTCTTAGTTTGCTAGTTTGGTCTCTTAGTTTGCTAGTTTGGTCTCTTAGTTTGCTAGTTTGGTGTCTTAGTTTGCTAGTTTGGTCTCTTAGTTTGCTAGTTTGGTGGCTTAGTTTGCTAGTTTGGTCTCTTAGTTTGCTAGTTTGGTCTCTTAGTTTGCTAGTTTGGTCTCTTAGTTTGCTAGTTTGGTGTCTTAGTTTGCTAGT